TATTCACTGACACTGACAGCAGCAAGCAAAATATCAGGTGCGTTTTAATCATCCGCTTCTGCTTCCGGAATTGTCGGTTCAGTCGTTCTAACCTGTCAGATTAAAACAAGAAAACCGACAATTCCGAAGCAGAAGCGGATGATTAAAACGCACCTATTAAAAATATTGCGCCAAGATGTAGGCAACACGTAATAAAGGTTCAAAATGGCGGAGTTTTCTATCTCCTTTTAAAAGGCACTCAGAAAGCGGCGCAGTGCGACCATTCTCCATATAGTAAAAGAAAATCAAAGTATGTGATTGTATAACTTTATGCAGTGGTGGCCTATCTGCTATTATATTATCTAAGGTCTGCAATTGTGTCAATGTATTTTATCTCCAACCGTCAATAAAGCCACATGCATTACCATACCGATTTGCTGAAGTAAACAAATACTTTATCTCACTGTAAAAATTAAATATTTTTTCTCTTTGCTAATATTTATCACGGTCTAGGACATTCGAGCGTGGCCAGTCTTGTCCCCAGTTGCAAGAAGGCTTGTTAAACTCTCAATAACTGATGTTAATTAGACTATGTGTAATTTGACGTTCATGTTATTGTCAGATCACATTCTCAAGCTCTGTCAATAATAATAAACTTTGACAGAGCTTGAGATTCTGATCTAACCTAATGACATGAACGTCTAATAAACATTAGCTATTGTGAATTTAACAAGCCTTATTGCAACCGAGAGGGAGACTATTATTTTTTATTTAGGGCCTAAGGCAATAAAAATTTTAGTTTCCGAAATATTGGAAAAAATCGATTTTTAATTTGTATCTTAAACACCATGTAACTTCTTTGTTTGTAAGTAAGGTCGATTGACGACCTATTTTTGACACCACCAGAATATAGGGTATAATGTATAATCAATCTTTTCGGGACTCCCTGTATACTAGTTAATAAATAAAACAACTATATAAAAAATACTTAAATGTATAATTTTATTGCCGATATAAATATATAAGTTTTGATATATATTATGGATTAATTTGATAACTGTGTGCAATGCCAGGTAAAAATATATTAATATCTCTATTACTACTGTTTCCCCTGTGCTCTTTATTTATTATTATGAAATTTAAAATTTCGCTGTCTAAGGGGTCTATTCTGTAACAATTCCTTTATATTTAACGGCCTTTAAGAATATTTTCTTTTTTACTTATGTCATTATTTAAACGGATCTTTAAAATACATTAGAGGACTATCTAAAAGAAATCTGTTTAAATAATGGCAGAAGTAGGTAAATTAACGAATACGAAAATATTTTTAAGGCCGCCAATATTTTTAAAGGCTGTTAAATATAAAGGAATTGTTACAGAATAGACCCCTAAGTCTCTATTCCTCACTACTAATTAGGTATTATCAACTCTGCTCGCCCCTCTAGACTCAACCTTCTAAATTCAAAATATTGATGGTATAGAAATTAAAAAATATGCTTAAATTTTAATCATTGCACTTATTTTTATGTGATTTTGATTTATTTTGTTTAGTATATATTATTAAACACATAATATCATAAACCAATGATAAAGTAAAAATTCGTCTGAAAACAGCAGTAGGTATTATTGAACGCAAAATATTTTATGTATATCGGAACAATAGGTGCCTAATTTTTTTAAAAATATATGAAGGAATTTATATAAGAATAATGCCCATTAAAGAAAACTGAAAATTTTACCATTTTGGATAAAATATAATTTACCTAACAGCTGGATATTTTCTTAAAACATTCGTATTATACCTGTTTTGAATACAAAACGAATCTTATGTTCACTATCAAACTTACAAAACTGGCTAGACGACATCTACATGTTTCCAATCGGAGTTCAATGTCTTATAAAGTATATTTGAAAAAAACACACTCAACAATTAAGTAACCTCTGAAAATATGTACAAAACTGATTTTATTTAAATTAGGTCGATATTGAAATTTTTACAGTTATGAATAATTTTATACAAATTACAAGCTATTAATTTAATTTACAGTTTATTGGGATATTCGTAGTTTTAGATAAATATTTTTTTTTGTAATACAACATATTTTTACTCATTTAAATAAAATATCATCAATGGTAATTTATGTATGCATTTGTCAATAAAAGTTATTCGCGATTCAAGCTAAGTGATACGCCCTCTGGAGGAAATTTATAGAAGGTTCCTAGAAAAGTCCCAGTGTTGCCAGAAGTAGCAAATTTTCGCTACGTCGTCGGATTTTAGCTCTTGAAGAAGTGGATAAGACCTTTTATTTAAGAATCAAAATTTGTGTCTAGTAATATGTAATCATACTTTATATTTATTTAAGGTTTTTTTATAAAACCGATTTATTATATTGATTTTTTTTTTAATTTCATTTCATTTATTAATTTTGTTTCAAAATCAGTTCATCATTTGACAACATTGCCGTTCGTGTTCATTGTTTACATTTTAATTTGTATCAATTTCAATTCGAGTTTTTTCTTACTTTTTAGCTTTAAATTTGTTTATTTCTTATAGTATGTGATAGTGTTTATATCAAAAATGAATTCTGCGAAAAGGTCCACAGCAAATTGCAATCTATATGGTGTTTATGTCAAAATTAAAACTGAAGTATTCATTATTTTCCAAGTGCAAGTCGTAAAATTTTATTTATTATCATAAATGGATATTCACAAATTCACAATATTAAAATTTTGCAAAACTTTGTTTAGAATCAAACTGTAATCTCATTTGTGACCGTTTTATTACCATTTACATGTATACAAAGTACCTACTACACAGTTCACTTCTTAATATAAGAATAAGGATAGTAAGATTTTTAAATAAGTTCATCAATAATAAATGTTTGGTACCTAAAATGTCCTTTAAACCACATAATAAAACATGTCCTGGGTTTAGTAAATACATATTTCTAGATGTTCTTGTAGCAACCAATAGGTGAATATTTCCAACAAATTAAGTCATTCACATGATAAATATTTATGACGAAATCACGAAAAATAAACTTAAATTAACACTAATAAATGAAACTCAAAAACACTATTACAATGAGAATATTATCTAAAAACAGTTAATAAAATCACAAATACAAAATCCGCCCAAAACAAACACATGTGAATAAACAAACATCCTACTTATAGGTGACAAATGACAAGCGCGCGAAAATTAATTTGAATCGCGAATAGGGTATCTGTAAGGTGGGGATGTAAGCTTGTCCTACATCATTTAGCCTTCCCTAAACCCATTATTCATTCTTCAGAAACATATACCTAAGACCTGCCTGCTGGTAGTAGCCGCGAGGTGTCTTTATACTGCCTCTTCACTTGTCGAGGCTCTACCCTACAGGCGTGATTTTATTTGACCGAAAGTGGCCTTTTGGTGGGCCTCTATAGAGAAAGTAAAAGTTGAAAAGTCTTTTGGTAGGTAGAGAGGGGGTAAACGTCAAACCACGTCGGGCGGCTCCGAGAATTTCACAGTAATGTTTACCTGCCAGTGTCATTTCATAGAATAAGTAATTTTAAATTGTTATCGGCGGAACCGGACAATCACATGTATTTATGGATTATAAATAATTATTAAACATGTATTAAACATGTATTATAATTTTACAAAATTTCAACAGCTATTCACAATTTATTAAACTATTTACTCGAAATTGTTATTAACATCTATAAAATAATTTTGTACGCCAATGTAACGCGTCCACTTCGGTGAGATCCGCTGCCAACCTGTCAATTTATGTGTATAAAGTGGGAGAACGTAAAAGAAAATCAAAGTATGTGGGGAGAACTGGCAAAAGCATTTCCAACTTTTACTTCTATTCTACCACCCTTGAGTGAATCTATTGTGTCTATTCTGTCCGTCCAACCCACCGAGCTTCAATGGGTCTATTCTGTAATGGTTCTTTTATATTTTAACTGCCATTAAAATATTAATGACACTTAAAAATAGTTTCCTATTCACTAACTTATTTGTGTTCATATTTTTATAAATAGTTTCCTTTAAAAATGATCAATAATTATCAATTAAAGGTATCAAAATGCATCTTTAATTTTTGACAGAAAGTAAAATAGCGTTTTATGTTGTAACTGGAGAAGTTTTGATTGAAGAATTACTGTAAAATGAAGAAATATATGAAGCAGATAACATTTTTAATATAAATAAACTATTACATTTAAGCTAAGATTACATCAAAGGTCAATAATAGGGGACCGTAGCGATCTAGCTTTTAAATCATGTTTTAACCGACTTCAAATAGAAGGAGGTTCTCAATTCATCGGAATATTTTTTTTATGTATGTTCAGCGATAATTATTTACCACGTAGTCCAATTTCTACGATTATTTTTTTGTTAGAAAGGGGATACCTCAGGGTTAGCTCCGTATACAATAGGTCAGGATCTGATAATCCATTAGAAAACAAAAAATCTCAATTTTTAAGGACACGATTTTAAGTGGTTTTTATTCGCTTTAATCACATACTTTGATTTTCTTTTACTATACGGAGAATGGTCGCACTGCGCAGCTTTCTGAGTGCCTTTTAAAAGGCAGTTTAGTTTTACATTTGATTTTTATCCTGTTTTACAATGTGAAACGACGTAAATCTTGCTTTGATGTTTTTTGTCACTCATGTTACTTGTACTCAGGTACTTTTTTTCACAATATTTTGAATCTTTTCATCAATTTTTAAAAAAAAACACTTTATTTTACATTGACTTACATAGAAAATTGACTGCGCTGTCATTAGACATGCTAACTACAGTCAATTTTGCGAAGTTTATAAAAAGAAGGACGGAAATTTGAAATTTGACCATTGCCGATTCGCCTCCTTCTCTCTAGTCTTCATAATTTTAACAAACTATCCACTACTGTCTATCTACAACGAAGTGTACTCTTAGAGCATATAATTGCTCTAAGAGTGTACCTTTAGTTAGCATCTGAGACGCATAGATGACGCCATCGTTGCTGCGGTCGTTGCGTTTCCTATCTTTTTGTCCCTGATCTGTGGTCCATTATGATCATATCATGAGTAGTGTCAAATTTTAAAATCAGTTATCATGGCGGCCGGCACGTTGGGGTCACAAATTTATATAGTGCTGTATCTAGGGTTTCTGATGGTCTATACCTTTCAAAAATACCAGTTTCAGACCAGTTTGACCCAAATAACATAATTTGACAAAGACGTCACTTTATTGATCATTTTTTAAATACATTTTTTTAAATATAATTTCGTTATTTGCAGAATGTTTCGACTGATTTACGTACTTCTAACGTGCGTGTTTGTCGTTAATTGCTATCGGTTACCCAAGGATGTTATTCCCGAGAACTACAAGTTGCAGATCATTTCGTATCTGGGAGAGAAAAACAATTTTGACTTCGACGGAAAAGTTTGGATAACGGTAAGTGCAATATGTACATGTATAATTCTATTTAATGAAGAGCAACGACGAAAAGCTATTAGACCCCTCTATCAATTCATAATTAGCCCTTATTTACAAACTTAAAACAAACTATAGACTTTCCACCAATTTTACGTACTCTGAACCCATTTCTAAAAAAAAAATTCTGAAAATATTATCGTTCGGAGCTGAATTTTTTGTGATAAAAAAGTTGCCATCACTTGTCACTGACAAAGCGTTGAACTTGGACTCAAGGATTTATTATTCTTGGTGTATCAAAACCCTATGATGTGGCCCTGAAAATGAGTAGAACGAGTGCTGATTTATATAACGTATTTGTACATTAATACAATTATTATGAAAAACTAGAAAAGTTTTATAACCGTAATAGAACCAAAAAACATAAAAATAACCTTAAATTAATAAAACAATTTCAATTAATTTTTTTCTAAAATCATTAAAAAATATTGACATTTTAGGGGGGTTGAAAACTATTCCCCAGGGGCGGAGAAAGGGGGGTATTTGTACTAAAATTATGCATTTTGTTAGAAAACATGGCTTGTGGGGCATTAAATCATCGAAGATTTTGTTTTGATTTAAGAAAAATATGTGTAAAAATATAAAAAAATCCAGGTGTGCACATTGGGGAGTACGGAAGCCAGGGTCGGAAAAAATATTTTATTAAATTTTGCATTTTATAATTGGTAGAGTATTTTTTCCAGAACACGGAAAAAGTAGTTAAAAGCCTTGGACATTAGAAAAAATAAGAGAAGTAAGTGATATTTTATATCGGAGCGCACACAAACCGCTCTAAACATTGTTGATGAGTGGTGCAGAGAGGAGGAACTAACAGTAAACCCTCACAAAACCACAATAGTCAACTTTACAAAACGAAAAGTACCAACAGGACTAAAGTTACCAGTACTGAAAGAGTGAAAATTCCATTTGCTCAAGAGGCCAAATACTTGGGAGTCATCTATGACCACAGGTTAACTTATGTCGAAGGTTGTGTGGAAAAAATTGGGGTCTACAACCGAAAATGTTCCTATCGTTATATACCAGAGTCATAAGGCCGATGATAACCTACTGGTCGGTGGTATGGTGGCCAAAGACTCGACAAGCTGGAGCTATTCGACAGCTCAATGGTATTCAAAGGCAAGCAGGCCTGAGTACCACGGGAGCTATGAGAACGACTCCAACAGCAGCTATAGAAGTCATGCTAAACCTAACACCACTACATATATTCATTCAAGGCGAAGCCAGGTCTGTCACAGACTGCACAAAGGTTCACCACCCATAAGCAGTTTGTATGGACGTGACTACAGCGAGCTATATAAAGAGTTGGAGAACGACCAAATAATGGGAATGCCTTCAGATGAAATGCTCCCAAAGTATAGCTTCCAAAAGCAATATAAAGTAAGTATACCAGACAGGGAAGCATGGACGGGAGGGCCTCCTATTCATGCAGAATGCACCTGGTATACAGTTATACAGACGGCTCCAAGACCCATGAAGGTTTAAAAGTAGGCATATATAGTACCAAGCCAAAGACAAGAATCTCACTGAGTTTAGGTAAACATGCGACAGTATTCCAGGCAGAAATAGCAGCAATACATCATTGCGCAAAAGAGGTATTAAGACAGAAGGTAAATGGAAAAACCATTGTCATATACTCAGACAGTCAAGTGACGTTAAAGGCACTCAGTTCCATGCAGGTACAGTCAAAGCTTGTGTGGGACTGTTTAGAAGCCCTAACAGAGCTGGGTTGTCAAAACAGACTAACCTTAGCCTGGGTACCAGGCCACTGTCCTCTGTGAGCATAAGGGCAATGAATAGGCTGATTTACTAGCCCGAGAAGGAGCCTCAAAGGCTCTTATTGGCCCAGAACCCTTCTGCGGTGTAACAAAAACAACCATCAGAACATGCACAAAGCAGTGGATGTTTAAAAAATCTCAGGAGTGGTGGAAAAAGTCTCCAGGACAGAGACAGGCCAAAAAGTTCATAAAAGGACCATCGGCTAAACTCACCGAGCATCTACTAAGCCTTAATAGGAAAAATACTAGTGTACTAGTAGGTCTATTAACAGGGCATTGTAGGCTTAACAAACATATGTATAATATCGGTCTGACAGAAGAGACCTTGTGCCGATTCTGTCAGGAAGAGGAGCAAACGGCAGTACACGTATTGTGCTACTGCGAAGGTCTAGCAAGACTGAGATTCCTTACACCTGGAGAAGAAAAACCAAGGGCAACTAGCTATACCGGAGAACTACTTCCCAGTCTATGGAGTCTACTACAAAAGACCGAATTAGACAAGTTACTCTAAATAACGATTCAAGGATATCTACAATAGATCTGAAAAGGTCGAGGTGGGAGAGGCCACGTGGCCCACAGTCCTAATTAAATCTAATCTAATCGAAGTGATATTTTAATTAGTTCTAGTAAAGCCAAAGACAGATGCATTAGAATAAATAGTAACCAGCTCTATTTCTTACGTATTTACGAAATTGGCTGAACAAGAAAAGTTATTAAAAAAATAGCTAAAGAAAATGATGACAACTTTTATAATTGCCTATGAAGAGTTTTATGGCAAATTAGTTCAAATTTATATAAGTAGTGGTCATGGAGGACGTAATAAAATTTTAATGGCTGTAAAACCAAAGTATGCAATTCCCAAACCAGCAGTAGAAATATTTGCTCGGTGCGCTACAACCTGTAATAAACAAAAGTCGACCTTATAGATTTGCAGTCAACGCCTGACGGAGAATACAACTGGTTAATGAACTATCAAGACCATCTAACAAAAATTATTCATCTGAGGCCTTTGAAATCTAAGAATGCAAAGGATGTATGCGAAGAAGTTCTAAAAATTTTCATAGAATTTGAAACACCAATCGTTTGGCAGAGTGATATTGGCCGAGAATTTATTAATCATATTATTCACAAAATGGTTGCTAAATGACCATCTTGTAAGATAATCAATGAACGTCCACGCAAAGTCAAGGAAGTGTAGAAAGATTAAACCAAGATCTGGAAAATATGCTTAAAGTTTGGTTAAAAGATAACTCAACAAATTGGTCACTTGGTTGCTATTTTGTCTAGTGGCAAAAAATTCTTCCTATCACCGGACCATTAAACGTTCTTCATATAAAGCTTTATTTGGGGTAGATTTTCAAGTCGGTTTATTTTCTACTAATTTGCCATCTAAAATTGTTAAAACAATAAATACGGAAGACGATTCGGAAATACCTCTTCAGTTGAAGGTTGCTCTGGAAGTACTTCAGTAGATCATTATGAACTATTTATGAAGCTGTTAACAATGACAATGAAGACGAGTATTTTACCTGTGTTTACAAAGAAATCGAATCGACAGTGGCCGATGTAAATAATACTAATGAGAGCATAATACTTACCGATATAAGTAATACTAATAGAGCATAATGCTTACCGATGTAAATAATACTAATGAGAGCATAATACTTCCTGATGTAAATAATACTAATGAGAGCATAATTCTGACCAATGTAAATAATACTAATGAGAGCATAATACTCACCGATGTAAATAATACTCATGACAGCATAATACTTACATATAATTTAGAGCATGCGAGAAAAGACTATATTATAGACGATTTGGAGGTAAATACAGAGAAAATGCTTCATGTTGGAGATGATATTACTACAAAGGCATTTTCTAAGAAAGATAATGGAAACACATCCCAGCCAAAATTTGTTAGTTACCAAAACACTCAAAAATGTATAAGATGTGATGCAAATAATGCAGATGCAGAAAAAATGCTGGAGATCAGCAATAAAAAATTAAAACCTCTTGATATCTGCCAAAATATTGCAATTGAAGTTCCCAAAATAGACAGAGGACCACTTGATCTCAAAAATATATTAGAAACTATAGTAGGCGTCTCCAATGGAGTTTATCAAATTAGCACTACACATGACTTGTTAAATCGATGGTTTTCGAGAAATGAAATAACTGCCAAACTAATGAAATAATTAATATTCTACAAGGAAAAGCAATTTTCTTAAGAAAAGCTCTAAGGTTATTTTCAAAATTCGATGGACAGGGATTTAAAAACTGTTCTTGCAATCCAAGCAAGACACAGTGTCATAGCAATAAATGTTTATGTTTTAAAGCTCGTATGAAATGTACTAGCAAATGTCATAAAAGCGCACCATGCTATAATAAATAATCCTAATCTATGATTTGTATTTTAATTTTAAATAATTTAGAGTGTTCAAAATCAATGGTTGAGTATAGTTCGCATGGCACACCGTAATGCGTCAGTCGTATTATAAACACGATTCGCGTGGCGCATCGACAGTCGTATTACGACGGATTTCATCTAGTAGGATTATAAAATACTTGCGCTCCTGTTCTCAAGTGGCAGGCTTATTATAATACCCCTGAAATGATCAATCAATTTGTGAGATTCTTAATTGTTTGGGTAGTATTATGATATGCCTAGTCGTATTGAAAAAGATTATAATAAAACTGATTTTACCATTTTATGTGTATTTATAAATCATCTAAAATCACCGTCTAAATTCATGTTAGTTAATAATGTTTTATATTGTGTTTCTACTTATTTCATTGATACTCTAGCACCGCAGCACCACTGAATTCCCGTGGTGGCTGCATATAGGGTTGCCAGATATCCGGATTTAAGTGGGAGCCTCCAGCCTACCGATTGTTGATACTCCCGTCTGCAGCTTCAATCCTCAAAACTCCAGAAATTCGACATTTGACAATATCTTTTTTTTTAAAGAAAATTTTCATAAAATCAGCGCTTTAAAATGGCCTTTAAAGTGCTTTTAAAAACCGGTGGTGACTGGCATAGGGGCCGGCCACCCTAAATAATTTTAAGTTCCGGCGCCTATGTATACATGCAAGTGTAGAAAAAATACTATTTAAAACATGTAGGAACAACGGCTTGAGTTAAGCGTTTTCATTCCGAGGACTAGGGTTCAAATCGCAGATGAG